ACAGGAGTTATCGCTTGCATCTTGTCATACCCAAGTCTCTTCACATAGATATTGCCGGTCAGATATGACTTCACATTGATGTAACTCCACTTCAGACATTAAATGATAAACATCATCCTCGTGACTGTAGACTAGGTAAGTTTGAGCTATAGAAGCCACTACGTTCGAATTACCATGTTTGACTGGAACTGGAACTACCTTAAAGATATTGGAAAACTTTATCGTAATCAAAGGAAATTGAATTTTGATAACTAGCTTGCTGTTCACAATTACTGCCTTTCCTGTTAGAAGACGGATAATTGTTGCAATTTGGTTGATTGTATCACCAGGTAATTTCATCTTCTCTGGTAGCCATGCTTCTATTTTTGCAATTTCCAAGCTAAGCTGCTCTGGTTTTAACAGAACTGAACTAATTTTTCCATGATTAATATCTATTAGTAGCCTTAGCATTTGGATTTGAATCTTTTCTATCTTTCGTAGTTGAGTCTCTATCTAATCTGCGACTGCCATAAATTTTATGAGCTCTTTATAGACAAAATATTGTTCATTTGTGATCTTTATCATGTTGTCAACCTTTTTCTGAATTTGCTTATAACCTTTGTTTACTTTGTTGGTGGTTTCCTGTAGAACATTTATTGTGATATTAACCAATGAGGTTAGATTGCGAAGCAATCTTTCAATCTTGAATTGATTGCTTAAAAGACTTCTCATGTCATTTTCTAATTCTTGCTGATCATCATTGTCCATCAATCCCAACAGCAAATAATATATGGAACCAATAGGATTTAAAGATCTCTTGATACGATTATTGTCTTCTAAGCCAAATAATTTTTTATTGAATTTTACTTCGCCTATTTGTTCTTTCATTCTCATCAAAGTTTCTTCACAATGATATCTAAACTCCACAAGTCTACCAAATATCTGCCAGCTATGCTGAATTAGATCTGTCATCTGCGAACTGATGCTATATATGTCGTTAGGTCGTAATAGATGACAATGTTTCATTTTGAAGATGTAACGTCCATTCTGTCTACGTTATCTAAATAAACCGCTGTTCCTTCATTAAATGAAGATAGATGTTTTAGTTGTGTTTTGTACTGCTGCTACTTGACCAAACACTAACATGGACATTGTCAGTAATACTTTAGATATGCTTATACCTGGATTTTTAGATGTTGCCTTTAATTTAGAACCGATATCTGGATCATGATAAATATCTAAAGGGCATATTTTAGTTAACAGTCTCTTAACAATGGTATCTTGCATCTTAACTGTAACAACTCGAGTTTTTCCATCCATACCATTATGTGTTTTAATAATCTTACCCAAAGGCCATCTAGCTGGTGATGTGCTTTCATCTTTAATAAGAACTACCTGATCCTCTTTTAAATTTGTGGCGGAATACTTGCACTTGCGACGATGTTGAAGGCTTGCGAGGTAATAATTTTTCCATATATTCCAGAAATCGCTTTTTATTTTCTGAATTATTTTCCAACGATTAAGAGAAGCAATTGCTTTTGAACAACTTTCTTCTGGAATATCAATTAAAGGTCTTATATTTAGGAAATGACCGGGAGTTAAAACATCAGCATTTTCTATATCATCTCGTACTTCACATAACGGCCTAGAATTCAAAACTGCTTCCACTTGAATTAACAGTGTCGACATTTCTTCGTAAGTTAACTTCGCTTTACCAATGACACGTCTTAAATGATGTTTCATTGACTTGACTGTGGCTTCCCAAATTCCTCCAAAGTGAGGACCTCCCGGGGGAATAAAATGCCAGGTAATTTTCTCCACTGCCAACGTGCCAGCAATTGAAGGAAGATTTCTTATAGCTTTTTAATATTCACTATCAAGTTTCTTAGTAGCACCGACAAAATTTGTACCATTATCTGAGTATAAATGCGAACTTTTGCCTCTTCGACCAAAGAATCTTCTATGGGCAGCCAGAAACGCGTTTGTTGACAGGTCACTTACATGGATTGATTTAGTAGCCCTACAAATGAAAACGGCTATATAACCTTTATATGATTTGTCACCTCTTCCTTTAGATATTCTCATTTGTATGGGCCCTACGTAATCCATTCCTCTGTGCTCAAATGGCCTCGTTATTGAAATTCTACTTTCTGGTAAGTTGCCCATCAACTGCGTAGCTGTTTCACGCCTATATCGTATATGTTAGATTGAATCATTTATTAAGACTAAAAGTAAAGAAGTTATAAGACAACAAGATGCACAAGATGCATGAGAAAGCAAGAGTATTGCCAGAATCAACTTATTTATTCTTTTGTTCTTCTGTTTTTATCATTTGTTGCACTGACAAAAGATTCGCACATAAATTTGGCACATACTCAACATTCTTAAGAGTTGCATTTCACCTAAGAGAGCTATTTTCATATCACCTATCACCTAACAGGCATTTCACTTTTATTTGCAACAACTATTGATTGGTTATTTATCTTTCGAATATTAAACAAATAGCTTTCGTCGTTTGTCATGTGGTTAGTTGCGCCAGAATCGACATACCAATTCTTCGAAATGTTTTCTTGATTTTTTTCGCATTCCAATTTTACAGCTTTAATGCACGTTTGCATATTGTCTCTTTTTACTGCAAATAAAATTTTATCGTCTCCTTTTCTTCCGTTATTCGGTTTATTTTTTCTGTAATATGTTGTTTTATTTGGGCAGTTTTTAGCATAATGCCCCTCTTTTTTGCAATTATGACATGTGTTTTTATACACAAATTTTTTCTTATGCACGTTACCACTATACAAAGCCGAATTTGTCTCATTATTATTAAACTTGGAGTCTTGCATTAATAAATTTTTGACTTTATCGACTGTTAATTTGTCTTTACAATTTTCGACAGTCATCACTAATGGTTTAAACTCTTCAGGCAGACCAGCAAGTATTAAAGACGCTGTGAGCTCATCATCAATATTGAGTCCTGTTTACTTTCAAAGCCGTCATTATTATTTCATTTAGGTACTCCTGCACTGATTTGCAGTTTTATAATTTTGTATTTACAAGTTGTTTCAATAATTCTACCTTTCTTGTTAAACCTTTGTCCTCATATGTGTTCATAAGCGCAAACCAAGCATCTTTTGCTGTTTTTGCCGTTGTAATGTGGCTGTAATTATTTGGGTCCACAATAAGTGTGATATCTATTAATGCGCGATCGTTTGTATCATCATCTTTTTCTGATGTTAATAATTAGACACGATTTCATTTGTCTTTGCCAGACATCAAAATTTGCGCGACCCCTTAGTCGTTCAGTATAAATACCCGAAGTATTCAACATTTTTGTTTTATCCGCGTGTCAATAGGCCCATAACATGTTAGATTGAATCATTTATGAAGACTAAAAGTAAAGAAGGTATAAGAAAACAAAATGCACAAGATGCATGAGAAAGCAAGCGTATTGCCAGAATCAAATTATTTATTCTTTTGTTCTCTTTATTTATAATAGAGCTTCGAACATACTTTTTTATAATACTTCTAGCATTAATTATCCAATATTGTTGCCGTATCATATTTTCCATTAATTTTGTACCGTCATGTACTGTAGTTTTATGATAATCATCAACTAGTAGCATCGTTAAGTGACATTTTAGTAATAGTATTGGATATTTTCTAGCAAAAGAGAGAGAAGAATTTTCTAATCGAAATCCAACTCGCAGTATTTCATTTTTATCTAGAAACGGTTAAAGACTACATATTTTATTTCCAGATGGAAGTTCTCTTTTGTTTTTGATCAAATTAATTTCTTTTGTGAAATGTAAATGTTGAGTAAGCCGCATTATAATATTTTCTACGTTTCTTAATTCTTCTACTGTCAACCATAAAAGAACTTCTCCTTCTTTAGCTTTCTGATGAATCTGCTTATGTATGCTTCTTTTAGTTGGAATACCGCTCTATTATATCATTGATTATTGTCTGCGAAGAGTTTAGATTATTTGTAGCACAAAGAGCAGAAACAGTTGATGTTGGCCAATTTGATTCATCTGTAAACCATGTAGGACCATTCTACCATAATTTATGTGCTGCAAGCTCTTCTGGTTTTAAGCCCCTTGAAGCCACATCCGCTGGATTTTCTTCTGACCTAATATACTTCCATGTTGCTGAAGGTATGCATTGCTTGATTTCTCTTACCCGAGTCCAAATAAATTTATCTTTAGTTTTATTTTTATTGTTGATCCATGATAATGCTATCATTAAATTGCTCCAAGCATATATTTTGACTTTTCGGTTTATAATTTCTTTAATGGTTTTAATAAGTTTTCTTAGTAGATGAGCTCCACATAACTCCAGCTTAGGTAATGTCTTTTTGTTTTTTATCGGATTTACTTTAGATTTTACTGCTAGAATAGTAATAGCAGTAGAAGCATTCCATTCTTGTGGTAACCTAACATCTCGTTTCGTATCCCACGTCAAGTCAATAAGCCATAGCTTTTGTATAAATAATTGCGCCATGGTTGTTGTTGGTTTCAACCATGCAAGTGGATCATAGATTCGAACCAATATTGACAGTCCCTTGTGTTTAGTTATTTTAGTACTATCTACTGGTTTGATGTAAAAGGTAAAATTATCTGATTTCGGTTCCCATTGTACACCGAGTGTCTTAACAGCTTCTCCGCCTTCTACTTTAATTATTTAATTATCTCCTGAGTTCGAAATTACACCCACAATTCGCTTTTCGTTTGCCATCCATTTTCGTAAATGAAATTTAAACTTTTTTAGCTGCTGACTGATTTCGGATTGAATACTTATGCATTCATTTATGGAGTCAGTGCCTGCCATCAAATCGTCTATATAGAAATCATTTTTTATTACCTGATATAGTTTTGAATTTTGATCCACACAATCATGAGCAACTTCAAATAGAGCTCTTTTTGCCAAGAACAGTGCGCAAGAAATTCCGTATGCTACTGTTTTCAGTACAAAATCTTCTATGGGTTTTTTTTTGGATCCTCACGCCATAGGATAGTTTGGTATGGCTAATCTTCTTCTGGTACCAACACCTGTCGATACATTTTTTCTATATCAGCTGTCATAACGTATTTCCACAATCTCCATTTGATTAGTAGTTGAAATATATCCAGTTGTGGCTTAGGTCCAGTGTGTAATATTTCATTCAAGCTTTTTCCGTTACTAGTTTTTGCTGAAGCATCAAATACTGCCCGAACTTTTGTTGTTGAATGGTCATCTCTGATTATAGCTTGATGAGGCATATAAAATTTACCAAACATCATTTTGGAAACTTTCTCCATGTGATCCATATTCATATATTCCTTCATGAACTTGACATACTGCGTTTTTAGTTTAGAATTTCTTTTAAATCTTTTTTCCAAAAACAAAAGTTTGGCCATAGCCATTTCCTTGAGTCTCCTAGTTCGTTTTCTTTTTTAAATGGTAATTTCACTATAAATTTGTTTTCCTTATTTAACGTTGTTGTTGATTTAAACAAATTTTCACATTCCTCATCAATTTCATTTATTTCAGGTGTTACACGCACTTCTTCAATTTCCCAAAATTTCTCAATGTCTGCAGTAACTGCTGATATTATAGTTGTGACTGTACTGCTTGTGTTGATTACTCCAGATAATATCCAACCCAGTGAAGTTTCTTGACCTAAGATTTTACCCCATTTTCTCAAACCCGGTGGCAATATTTCGGCGAGGATATCTGCTCCAAGCACTACATCTATTCGATCAGATTTATTGAACATAGGATCAGCTAAACAGTAATTGTCCCATTTTTTTAAATCTTCTTTAAAATAATTATTAGGTTGCGCTTTAATTTTGTAACTATTATTGCTTTCAAATCTTGGACGAATCACGATTTCTACAGTTGATTTTGATGTTTCTACTAATGTATTTCCTGGTCCAATCAGATCTGTTCTCGATTTAGTTCTGTGTAACCTTAATATTTGTGTCGCTTCCTCTGAAATTGAGGTCCTCTGTGAACCTTGATCCAGCAGTGCTGTTAACAAAACCTTTTCACCACTTGCAGAATCCACTTGAATCTGTGCTGTTGCTAATAAAGTGAATGCACTATTTTCTTTGGTAATCATGCTTGCAGCTGCGCCAGCACTAATTTGCGTTTTATTTTGCACAATTTTTTGTAAGTGTAACATACTGTGATGCTGCCCTCCATATTGCTCACACTTTCTATCTAACTTATAGCATTTCTTGTTCGTTTTATGCGCAAAACATATTTTACATAATTTCGTTTTATTAATCCAGGAGTTTTTATCAATTACCGATAACTGAGTAAACTTCCGGCATTCAAAAACAGACTGAACTACTATGTTACAAAACATGCATTGCTTTTGAGAAATTTGAAAGACATTTGCTGATTTTATTTTTTTGTCTGTAATATTTCCTTTTTTGCAGCCAACCGATTCCAGCGCTAAATATTGTTACTCTAAAAATGCCATAACATCTTTTACTGTCTGAACCTCCTTTGTTTTTTGAACGCATTGTTCATACCTCAGGAAACCTTCTTTATCCAGTTTTCGTACGGGGATTCTTGCTATAAATGGATCTGCATCCTCAATTGGTATTCCCATAGCTTTTATAGCTTGATATGATTCAGTTGCTGTATCTAGCAAATGTTTAATACTTGCAGCATTTTGTATGTTTATACTGCTATGATCAATGATTCTATCAAATAGTGTACAAAACAATAGTCTTCTGTTATTATATCTATTCTCTAATATTGTCCATGCTGCATCGTAATTTTCTCCCGTTACTTGAAGATGTTGATTTAGCCGTGTTGCATTCCCTTTTATGGTGTTTTTCAGTCGATAAAATTTTTCAACGTTAGATAGCATCTTGTTACCATCTACTAATTTTGAGAATATTTCCTGGAAAGAGTTAAAATTGTCTACTGTTCTATTAAAACTGAGTAACCTTATGTCTTCTAATCGAGTTGGATTGTAGTGTTCAGTTGCTATATTTTCGTGGTATTTTATAGCTATTTCTTCTAAGATTTCTTCATAATTGGTTCGCATCAGTATGAAGGTTCCTCCTATCTCTTCATCATCAAAATTTTCATCACAAATTTTGTTGTGTATTACAGAAATGTCCTTCAACCGAGCTTCAATAATGGCTCGGTTCGTATCAAGTAACCCTTCAGTTACTTCTGGCAGCTCTCCTTTAATGTTTCTTATTTTGTCTTCCAAAAAACTGATTCTTTGTTGGAAGCACATTATAATCTTTATAGATTTTTCATCTCTAAGTGTTTTCATTCCCTAACACTTTTATTGCTCAGAGATTGTTGCTTTTTTTTTGCCCGGATCCATAATACCTGCTTTTTTATCTACAGAAGGTGGCGGATCTTTATATAAACTTTCTGCATTTTTATTTTCTGTTTCTCTACTAACTCTGCAGGTGAAGACGTTTTTTGCTTTCCAAGCTGTTCAAAATGATTTAATATTTTTTGAATCTTCTTGTGTGCTTCTGAAGCAGCCTCATGTTTTTTTTAATTGAGAATCTTCCTTATAAGGTGTTTCACATATGGATTCAAATGAATCATTGTATAAACGCCAGGCTTCAATTAACCACTTTTTGTTTTTCTTAATATCTGCTGACGACATCTCTTGCACTTCGATCTCCTTCTCCTTTATTTGTAGCGTATATGCAGTAACTTTCAGCCGATCAAACTGCTTCTCAGCTGCGCTTTTAACGCTTTTTTTTACAGAACGCGTATAACCGCTTAATATTTTAACCTGCTGTTTAAGCCACAAGTACGCTTAATAAGTTCGACGGATTAAATTTATTAAACTCGAAATATTAATATACATTCTGTTGCCTAAGCCACAGACACGTTTTTCACAATTTTAAAAATTTGCTTTATTTTTTCCTGTCTAAGCCACAGGTACGCTTTTCCACTGATTCTAAATACTTTAAGTATCTTACCACTGGTGGGGGATACAAAAAGGCTCGAAGGACCAAATATTAAATTTTACCCTGAAGTAAAATTTAACGCTTTGAATGTTTGTAAGACACTGAATTTATTTCTAAAATTGAATTCCTTTTATAGTAACTTAATATCTAATCTTATCGCTAAATACATGATATAGGCTTATCGCCAATAGAGATACAAATATTTTATCTTATAAACATAAACATAACATAAGTATAAATTGAAAAAATTCCATTTGTTATCTCCTTGTGTTTTTTGGTGGTATTTTGCTTATATGAATGATAAGCCACCTAAATAACCACCACCGTTCGTGTGAACGGATTTCTTATCCTAATCTAAACATTGAAATAAATAACTAAATAGCGAAGGCCGCAGAGTGTTCTTAAGATAAGAGTTTATGTGAAAATTTATTGAAATTTGTACAAGAACCTTTATTTAAACGAATGTAAACTATCAAAACATTAAACCAATACTTTACAAAAAAAAAACAATTGTATTTAGATAAAATAGTTTTCCCAAAAATGGATAATGTCACTTTTAAAGAAACTTTAACGATACAAGAAATAAAAATAAAGAATTATTGAAAATACTAATGAAGTTAATGAAATTAAACATAAGAATAACATTATTGTATACAGTATCACAAGTGGAATAATAATCATAATTATTATAAGTTCAATGTCAGTACCAAAGAAGATATAGAAAAGAAAATAGAGGAAATTTTGAATAATGGTGCCTCTTTGTGTAATATCGCAAAGAAAATCTCTTTTACTTATTTACCATACCAGAATTGTCAAATATTAAAAACGGTGTGGCTTATAACTTAAATATTTACTACATTTGTGGTTTCATATTAGCATGTAGCCATTTCTTCTAATTAGAAGAAATAGTATAAATTATTGTTCTTGGAAAATCCATTGTATATATTAATACGATTATAATGAGTAAATATATGTATGCATGATTTTTTATATCAGTTTTACTTCAATTTACATAAAAGTTTTAAATGCGCTATATAAATCAAATATAAATGAAGAATTGGTAAACTAAAATCAATAGTAAATATAAAGTAGCTATTATTGATATATGTAAATATGTATATATAATTAGTCATGCAATTGTTTTAATAAAGTTAAAAAAATTGTATCGTATTTATTAAAATAAAAGTTCTTTTAATCATGTTGCACATATAGGTACTATATTTATATATATGCTGAGCATCTAATAGAAAAGTTAGTATGTGTTCATACATTTCGAGTATTAGGTTGCATTGTTTTAATATTTTGTTTTAAAAAGATTAATATTAATATAATTTTTTAAAATTCAAAAAAAGTTTGGTATATTATAATACAATTTTTGCTTGTGCATCTAATTTTTTCAATATAGAGAATCGTAAAAATGTATATGGGTCATTCTTTTACAAACCGGACGGATTTTGGCAAAAAATGACCTCATCACCTCCGATTTGGCTGAAATTTTTTTATGAGCTCCTTTCATAAAATAAGAAGACCCGTATCTCGGGAAAAAATTTTGTAATTTTTTTCCTAGGAGATATGGACCCATGGGGTTTTGAGAATTGGCATTGTAGACACATTTTCAAATGGCTATATCTCAAGTTCTATAAAAGGTAGAAACTTGAAATTTATTGCGTTTTAAAGATAATTGGTTGAGCTTTTAAGAAATTGTTTAAACAATTAAGATTGTTTATATTTAAGTACTAATATTAACCGTTAAATTTCAAAAAAAAAGATATCTCAAAAGGGTACACAACATTTTTCATTTTTTATATTTTATTTAGATTCAGTTTTGAATTTTACTAAGAAATAAAAAATTTTCATGATAGTATCGATTTTTATAAATTTTTTAAATTTTTTTTTTTCTCATAAAACACATCAAACACATGCGTGCTATATTTACATTAAATGAATTTTCAAAAAATATACTACAAATATTCTTATATAATATTTTTGATTTCAATTAGTAATAAAATTGTACATAAAACTCAAAAATTTCAGGACGATATTGTCGTTGGAACTACTTTTAAAAAATTTATTTATCCTTCACATCACTCCAAACACATACACACGATTTTTCAGTAAAAAAAAAACAGAGGAATACGTCACACAAATTTTTCATTTTTACTTTTAATTCCGATTAAACAATAAATTCTTCTTCGAAAATAAATATTTCCAGTGTGATATTGCTTCCAGAAGTAATTTAAAAAAAATTAATTTATCAGGTGTCCTTCATGTTACTCATACGCACCATAATACCCTTGAATCAATTTTCCAAGAAAAGTGACACAATATTCACATTTTAAATTAGTTCCGCATCATCTCTATTTTTAAATTATAAATTTTAACATAATTAAACCGTTTTATGAACTTTTTCTTATATTGATCAGTTTAAAAATTAATTAGTTCCACACTAGCTGAACTACCTGAATAACTGAAGCACATAAGTACACCCACCTTCTATGGTGAGTGTTATTCTGCTACAGTTGGAAAAATTCTTTAAGCAGGTAAGAACTGTAAACAATTTGAAATGGAGTGTCTAGGTACTCCTATCTTTAAAAGATCCAGTATCAAATTTGGTATAAAATGTTAAGTAAGTCTGATAAATTTTCAAGTAAGAACATTTAAATAATGGCAAAAGTTGAAAAAAATAAATTGCATCTACGGCAATTCAATGACTTAAAATGTTTCAATCCGCTGAAGTTAAAAATACATCCAAGAAAGGCCAAAGTAAGGCAAGTTTCAGATAGTATCCTGCGTATGTTGGGGATGCCTAGGACCAAAAAAAATATGGGGAAAAAAATATGTAACAGTTGCCGAATGAGACTGGCGATGAGAGCCAAAAAAAATAAGAACAATGAAGGAGCTATATCGGAAAACAGCAGCCAGTCATCGAGCGAGGAAAATATTCAACCATCAAGTAATAGCAGTTCGGCTACATACGAAACTGAAGTCAGAAAAAGTGCTATTAGTCCATTAAATAAAGCACTCTCTCTAATAAGCAATACCCCAATTACATCGAGAAAACTTAAACAATAGGAATATAAAAATGAAAAAATAAAGGATATAACTGAAGCGATTAAACATAAAATTTTCAACATTCCTCCCGATGAGTCCAACAATAGCGATGAAGAAGATGACCTTGCATCAATTTTAAAAAATCTACAGGAAAAATTCAATGGCTCAGCAGATA